CAAACATAGGCGAAATTCGTACGTATCTTACTGTACGGGACGGGCCGAAGTTGCCGATGTAAATCGCTACTTTTCCTGTTATTCTGGGTAGATTTTCTCCAGGTTATTGTCCTTGAGGATTGTCCAGATGATGAGTAAAACTTAATCGTATCTTTATTGGCTGAGCGATAGCGAAGCCCTTGTCGTGTTTGGGCGCTCCAAAAACCGACTGGTCGTGAGTCTGTCTGTCCGTCTGTGAGTCTGTAGCGTACACGCTCACGTTTCTCAGCAACTCACACCAATTTTTCCCAAAAATTTCGTACTAAACATCTTAAAAGTGTCCCACAGGGGGAGTTTATTTTAGATCAACAATTATCATCGTTTGAAATATTCAAAACATCGTTTTGAACTAGGTTTTTATCGTTGTTAGGTTGGTAGCAGCGTTGGCTGCCCAAATTTTCTCATACCGGCTGCCGCGCTTCCAAGCCGTCTGCAAGACGAGACGGCACTTTTGCAATTAAATAAACTAAAGAGCAAAGAGGTTCTCAAAAAGATACTGAGATAGTTTTTTAACATTCTAGCATGATTGAATCCCTTCCGGAGTGTCAAAAGAGAAAAATACGAAAACTGAATGTGAGAATGGTTTGCGTGTTTCGTTCCCCTCTTCCCCCTCCCCCGTCACAGGGGAAATCTTTCTTCAGGTCAGTGCACTGTGAGTGTAGTTGTGGATTGTAAATAGAATGTTTTCTTTGCCTTTGTGTGCATCTACTCATTTTATTCTCTCTGATACTATCCTTATTTTTTAATTTCGTAGTAAATCAAATCAGGTAAAAGCACGAATAACTTCTGTTGAAATTAGAAGACATGTTAATTGTCTTGGGTTTTTCTCAGTTAATGACATTCCATTGCAATGCTGCAAGCTAACATAAATATTCTAGTACTAACATCTATTGATTAAAAGAATCCATAAATAAATGTATTTAGTGCAATAAAAAAACCATATATTTAGTGCTAACAGATTTTAAACTGATATTGGGTTCAATGAGACGATTCAGGTTTTGAGCGGTGGGTGACTTGGTAATTGCATTTAATGGGACGATTCCTTTCACTTCACCAAAGCTTGTGTCCGTCAACTGGAACTAAGTATTGGTAATGATTTAAAAGCTGGGATTCTGAATGTAAGCCCAATGTTAAAACTATACTGTATTCTTTTTCTCTGAAGATAAAATATCACAAGGCATGAAAGGGAAATTAAATTTGGGGTATTGAGCAACAAGTGGCCTCTGCATTTTACTTCATGAGACGATTCACTGAATTTGACAAAACTTGGTCTCCGTCGAATGCTTCAGATCAGCCTGCCCTAAACTGAGTCGCTTGATAAAAACTATGATTACATATTCCAGTCTATATTGTTTAATTCACTGGTTTTTAAAATTTAAAATATGACAAAAGGCTTCTCCAATATAACGAATAAATTTGTGAATTCATTAGTTTGAAAAAAAGATGTATCGAATAGTGAGTCAAGCAGACGAGTAGCTAATTAAGCGATTCTATGCTGGCAATGGAATGTTACTCGACTGAAGGAATCGCATTGGTGTGGCATCAGGGTATTGGTAACGACAAAGGGGATCCATGAAGACCAACCCCGACCCATTCTTTACCTATTATTGATCAAATTTTTTATCAATATTTTTTTAAACGAAACTTACATTGATTCTTGGAGTTTTTTTAGTGCTGATTATGAAAACCACTTCCATTTCTACTCCAGACTTTTATTTTTCCCCTCAAATTGGGTGATTTCAGACCAAAATTTTCGGGTCGAGTTTTATATGGTTCCTGCAGTGTTTGATGAGCTGAACTCAATAATAACTTCCAAATTTTTTCCCCGACTCACGCCCTTTACCAAATTTGGACCAAAATGTTTGTATTGAGTTTGATGTTGATCCCCAACAGTTTTTTGTGTGCTGATAACAAAAATCACCTCCATTTCGACTCCAGACTTATATTTTAATCCCAAATTAGGTCATTTTGGACCAAAATTTTCAAATCGAGTTTTATATTGTTTCCTGCAGTTTTTGGTGCGCTGAACTCAAAAATGACTTCCAAATTTTTCCCAGACTCACGCATTACCGAATTTTGACCAATTTTTGACCAAAATTTTGGAATTGAGTTTCACGTTCAGTTTCTTGTGTGCTGATAACGAAAATCACTCCCATTTATCCCCAGACCTACATTTCACTCAATATGAGCCCACAAGCTGCACATTTCGTCTACTTTAGCAAAGTCCGAAGTGCACAAATTCGCATCGCTCAGCCACACTACGCGCCCACACTAAACGGTGCGTACCCCTAGTTATAAGAGTAGTAATTTCATTTAAACAATATAGTTATCCCATTTTTATTCGTATCTTTACAACAACTGTCATTATTTCAACTTTACAATACAGTTCATCCACAATTTGTTTGTAATTATACGACAATTTTTTAGAGTGCCCAAGACCCGAGCACGGTGTGAAACGACACCGTCACTGGTCGTCCTTAGAGTCACTTGGGGACGCGAACCAGCACCAGCACAAGTTGGACTTGGGGTCAGGGACCTGAGCGACCTCGGCCATCCAGCCCGCCCGGGAGGAACAGGAATGTCGTCATCGGGGGAAGGGCCACAGATCTGAGTGAAGAATGTGATTTTGATCTGCTGCGTCGGGATCTGGTTGTGCTGTCTCCCTCTGGATCTTGTCCTGCTGCGTCGCCCTCTGGATCTTGTCCTGCTGCGTCTCCCTCTGGATTTTGTCCTGCTGCGTCTCCCTCTGGACTGGTCCCTTCTGGGTGGACTTTTTGGTGTAAGATAGTAATCCTGCAATGAGGTTTAAATAAACCGTTATTCTAAATATCTTATGAGGCAAACAGTAGTTGGCTAGTTCACGGTAAAAACGCTTCCTAGGAATCCCAGGAATCTCCCGGAAACTCCTATACCTTATAACATAGGGCTCCTGGGAATCCCAGGTTTTGTTTTTACCGTGTTATTAGTCGCTGCCTGCTATGTGAAAACAATATTATTTGCTACCGATCCCACATCAGACTATGAAGTGACTTCAACCTGCATAACTTACAACAATTCTGCTTTTTCTCGTGATTGTGGACAATTGTGCTGATGCATCAATCCCAATCTGAAACAGGAAACAACCAATGGCTTTTAGGAAAAGGATAGTTAAGTGTATTAACTATCACTGTCTTAAGCAATAATACATACCTTGGATCCTTCACAGCAGTGAACCCAAAAACTCTCTTCCATCCACCCATACATGTCAACACACGTTGCTGGTAGTCTGTTAGTTGCTCTGTAGGGGGCCCTCCGCCAGTTCCTCGTCCATTAAAAAGGTGCAACTCTTGACCTCTTAGTTTAACTGCGTCCCGTTGGTCCGACCAGTACTGCATGCACCATACAATAGAAATAAAGGTCACGTTATTAAGATCAGGAATGATAGGCGACGGATTAGGTAAAATAAGCCATACATACGGTTTTCCATTTGGCTTCATCTTTATAAGCCCCACGAGGGATTTCGTTGAGCAAAGCAGCCAGTTTTTCCCACTCATTGCGGTAGTCCTCTCTTCCCATAGCACACCGAAACTTTCTGACTGAACAAGACATTCCTCTCCATACAGGCAAGCAGAAACTCCCTCCGCTCATCGTTCACGCGGGGAGGCCTTGGTCTCGGCATCTGTAGGAAAGAAAAGGCACTGGATTTTCAGACACACACCAAACATCAGTTAAGGTTGAGGCATCAACATATCGGTGACCAAATGTACAAGGGTTGCTCCCCATGTAACACTGCACGGAAATCCCTTTAAAAATGTACCTTTTTCAATTGCGCATTGCCGGTAAGTTGGTTAGGCTGAGTGAGTGGAACAACGCCACTGTTCCATTTTAATATCAAACAAATACACGACGAAGTTGACAAAGGCTTGTCTGTCACCGTCCGAAGAACTTGAAAGTGAAGACGTAGATCTCGACGACCTGCCGGCGTTGACGGACTTGGTGAGTCTAGTCATGATCTTCTAGGGTCAGGGCGGGGAAGAACTGGACAGGGGAAGAACTGAACACCCCATATTAAATTTAAATGAACGTGTGCACAGGCATAACAACCATCAAAAGTTGTTCAGAGGCATCAGCAGTTCATTACGTGATAGTTGTTAAGCCTGTGCATACAGCATTTGGAGTAAAACATGGGGTGTTCAGTTCTTCCCCTGTCCAGTTCTTCCCCGCCCTGACCCTAGCTGCTTGGCCACGACAAAATAAACTACGAGGTAGCTTTGAGGCTTTCCACACGTCGGGAAACTGTCACAAAACGTCCAATCACATGAACAGCACGCACGAACTGACAATCAGCTGATCCGGCAACACAATTATAGTTAAGCTGTGATGTGGAGGAACAGGCAGCGAGACATCGCGAAGCCTGTTAACGACAAGACGCGGTCTGGCGTAAACCTACCTTGTACAGTCCGCGGTTCACAGACCGTCCTTAGAGGCGGTGTACCCCTTCCCCGAGCTTCCCTCTCGGGCCCGCCGCAGCAGTGCACCCAGACTCATCCGGTGCATTGAGGGCGCATGCTACATGCAGACCCGACGAGAGATTCAATGCCCTCGCCCTGTCAGCACCACGAGAGGAGAGGTCCATAGCGCTAAAAGCATAGTGGGCACATCGGATGCGGTTTACCTTGGCGGCTGCAAGGGAGGATTGAATGCGGTCGAAGTGCAATGCCGGGCCTGGCGTGCGAACTCAAACCGACTCATAAGAGTGCCATTTGTCTCGATTTTTCTTCACGTCTCATATTACTTCATTGTCCGGCACCCCCGAAAAAAAAAAACGAACAAAAATTGTGTGGGTTGGGCTAGCCCCTCCACAATGACTACCCATTACATTTCCGCTTCAAGGCTGGACCCCGTAACGTATCCCAGTACTTAACTCCAGTTTGTCTTTGGAAAAATGTTTCAAGTTTTTGTTTTTCCTTAAATCAGTCGTTTCATTGTTTTGGTTCTACAGTTGGCTTCGGTATTATTTCACAGTCGACTGTTAAACAGGAAAGTGGAATGGCTGCGGCCTTGTTCATGAAGCGTGTTACGACTCGGAACTTGTAGCGGCCGTAGGGCATCACTGGAAAGTGAGGGAACGTCCAGCTCACTGACTCGTTTTTCACGACGACGTGTCCCTGCAACAAAAAGGTGATTCTCAGTTACAATCGTGTTTTCCTGGCTGGTCATCAAGTCAGAGCAGACTCGTCTCTAAAATAAGGGCACGCCTTCACAACGAAAATTAATTTTATCTTGAGAATCGGACAGTACGAGAATTGGGAGATATCTGAGCTTGACTAGAAACCTTGGAAGCAATTCCTGGGAAACCAATAATACTTTTTCGCCTCGGCGGAATTACGGTTAATGTGAAGACCTGTCACAGATGACGCTTTCCTCTATTTTTTGGCCGATCGGGTAATAAATGTGATATATGGGTTAGTCAAAGTTTTTTTTAGGCGGAGGACAAGGAGCCCGATTTTGCCGGTACTCTGCAAATTGAAGTGTGTACATAGTACACTCTTATTAGAGCATGCTACCAAGCACACTCTTATTTACAGCATACTTGCCAGGCACACACTAAAGTAGAGTGTGCCCGACATGTACACGCTAAATAGGAGTGTACCTTGCAAGTACACGCTTAAATACACTCGATTAGTCCTATCTGAAAGCATGGGCCAGTTTAAGTGTACTTGCCAGGTACACTCTTTTTAAGCGTGTACATGCAGTGTGCTCCCTTCTTTATCGTGTGCCTAGCAAGTATGCTGTAAATAGGAGTGTGCTTGGAAGCATGCTCTAATAAGAGTGTACTATGTACACACGTCAGTTTGCCGAGTACAAAGACCCTAGGTTGCAAAACCTAAGAAGGCTGGCGCTACAGCTCGCCATGTTCGTGACCGCTAGAGAACGGCCCTACGGAACACGAGTCATTTAGATAAAACTCCAACACTGAAATTCAAAGGGTGAGACATCTGACCGATTTTCGGTGATACAAAAAGTATGACCGAAAAACGGTCATACACAAATGTATGACCGGTCATACACAAATGTATGATCGAAAAACGGTCATACTTAAATGTATGACCAAAAAAGGTCAGACATCAGCGAGACTGGCTATTGTTTAGCTTGGGGATATATCAGCCTTTACCCGTGATACACTTTAAAGTATGACCGTTTTTCGGTCATACATCGAAGTATGACCTTTTTTCGGTCTTACATTTCAGTATGACCCTTTTTCGATCGTACATTTCAGTAAGACCGTTTAAGCGGTCAAAAGTATGACCTTTCTATGTTCAGTGAAAGTACACGAAACGTACACGTGGTATTAAGCAAGGCGCTTTCTTGTCTGCGCTCGCCCCAAGGTACTTCACCATGATGCGCCACATGTCTGGCAGATGATCTCTCAAGACGGAACACCCCGAATTGGGGAACTTGAAGACAAAAGCGTTGTCTTTCCACTGATTGTTTGATCGAACAGCCATGTCGACATGTGCCTGTAAAAATGAAGTCGTGTTTATGCCCCTGCCCCGTCCAAGCTCACACACTCAACATCTTATCATCGTTTTTAAATACGTATTACGATGGTTTTTCATCGTCAGGTACGCATAAATTTGCAGTACTATGCTTAGTTTTTACACTGTTAAAAAAATTCTTAAATTTAATACGTAATGACATCTTAATTTTAATAACCTTTTGAAAAGATATGAAAACTCATAAAGGTTTGTGAAGTTTAAGAAAATTTATTACATTTACCAAAACATTTCTGTCAAGTAATGAAAATATTGGTAACTTTCAGAAACTTTATTAAAATGGAAAAACAGGTTCATAAAATTTGAGATTGTTTGCCAAATGCAATAATTTGTTTCTTAAAATTCAAAACCACTGTGACTTTTCATATTTGATTCTCATCCTGCCAGTTGAAATTGTGATCATTGGACGCTTCACTACCAGTGTACTTAAAGAACAAATTCGGATGATCTTCGTCATGTGAAGTCGTGTTTGGAGGCCCTTATGGGCGAGCGCTTCCGCTGCCTAGCAGAGTCTCCACCGAGAGGCTTGGAGTCATCCACATCCTAGAGCCCGCCTCGCAGAGCTCACCCGTGGGTAGCGTCGCAGTGCAGTAATCCGGAATCCCGGGTTCGAGACCGAGTTCCATCCACGCTTCCAAGCAATTTCGGCTGTGAAATTGACTACTACCATAAAATGTGTAACTCGTAACGAACATAAGGCGGTCAATTTTTCACTACTCCATGTTTAATTCTTCTTAAATGCAAAATCAACTTTTAAGAAACACATTATTACTTTTCAAATTTGGTTCTTACTTTTAAGAAGAAAAAGTTTATTACTTTTACTACCAAAAAGTCTTTGTAAACTGCTTCATAAAAAAGTTTCTTAAAATGAAGATGGATTTTTTTAACAGTGTAGCGTGAGGTATGCATGTTATCGTTACTCATGTTTCTACATAAGGTATGCATGATTTCATCGTATTACGCATGAATTGTATTGTAGTACGAATGTTCTCATTTCAACGTATGTTACGATGACCCTTCCATCATAAGAATCTGAGGGTGCACTGAATGAGGGAAGGGTGGGGCAGTTTGGAACATAATTTGTAATTTCGTTATTATAACAGTACACGCAAAAAAAATGTAAATCAGGCCCGTGCTAATTTTTTTAACAGATCGTTTTTGGCACGGGCGCTAAAAAACTAGCACAGCTACAAGCGACCTCAGGTGCGCGCGGCCAGATGTTTAGCTGGTTACCTGCCAAGCAACCACTCTCGCAAAACACAAATTTGTGGCGGATTTAGCCAATTTTGTTTGTTAATACTGCTAGTCGTGAGCTGCTAACTATTGTTTGCAAGCCTTCAAAAATTTCTAGTAAGCAAGCTAAATGCGATCTGACGAGACCAGTTGATGTCATCGTCGTCCAGTCGCCGTCGGATAGGAGGAGATCGCCGCGAGAGTGCGCTGCGCGCGTCGCGCCGCCGCTCGCGCGCGGTGACGGTGTAGCATGCGTTTTCACCTAGTCTGGGCGCCATCGTTTCTACAAGTGCCTGCCAGGAGGCGGGTCGCTTCCCCTGCTGGACTGGCACTTGACTCCAGCAGGCAATGCTAAGTGATTCGTGAGCGCGTCTCGTCTAGAGTCACTGACGTCAGCGTCCTGTTTGAGATGTGTCCGTGACCGTTAGACCACAAGGAGTAGACATTATTCGTAATGATGGTTTCATCTTTTCATCTCGGAATACCCAGGGGGTAGACAACTTAAGTAGTTCATCAGCAAGATTTGATTGGTTTACAACTAGGGATTCCTTACAGTTCCAGCTAGGACGTTAGACCCGTTGCTAGAATCGCCCAGCTAACACTTTTTAGCCACACAGTTAAAAAGTTAGCTGCGCCTATAGAGCTAATCTTATTGGTGCGGGTGCTAATTTTTTAGCTCTGATGAAAATTATTTTTTTGCGTGTACACCCCTTTGTCCGAAAACCAGTGCTTTAACTGTTATTGAGTTGAAATAAAGACGTTTTTCGTCCCGCAAAGTTTAACATGCAAGTCTATAAATGTTGCATTTTGATGGAAGTCATAGGTCAAACATACAACGTCTTCATTGATGCGATCTGGTACTACGAACTTTCATCATTATGCACGCTTTCCATATTAGAACACGTTTTTTTTCTGGTGATATTGTTTTGTTTCTAACTGCCCCATCCACATCCGTTTCAAACTGCCCCAGAGAGCACCATTCCAAGTTGTGCTGCTCCCCGCCGGGCTTGGTGAGGGCTACGTCAGTGTCTGACAAGGGAACATACTCAGGTGGCACACTCAGATTTCAGCCAAACTTTTTTTTTTCGTAAGAATAACGTATTAGATTAGGAATGCACCCCAAAGTTGGTGCCAAGATACATATCCACACTCCTCCATTTTTTTAAACCGAAAAAAGGGGTAAAATGGCCCATGTTTTTACATGCAACGAGCAGATTTTCGGTCGTAATTGGGCAGTTGAACCAAAATATGTGCAAAATATGATAATATATGAAACAGACCTAAATTTTCTCTCATTTTCGTCAGAAGGGGACCAAACATTGTAGAAAATGATAAAAAACTCGACTTCAAATTTTCCTATTTGATGTCCGGAAACGACCCGTACACTGCAAAAAGGCTAATTTTACCCCTTTATTAGGTTTAAAAATTTGGGAAAGGGTGTATATATATCCTCGCACCAACTTTGAGGTTCATTCTAAATCTTATATGTTACACTCAGATGAGTGTATCACCTAAATATGTTCCCTTGTGAGGGTGCGTTACGTTTGCTCAATATGGTACTGAAAGATAAATTAAGTGCGCGGGGGAAAATCGCTTACTAGTGAAACCCAGACGGAAACTCTCGTGACTCAAAAAATTTTAGTTTAGGCCAATTTCAATGGTAAAGCAGTTTCACTTTTTGTTTTCAAGCGCACTTTAGTGCACCGTTGACGACTTGAAGCGACTTGAAGCCAACTTGAAGCTAAATGTGGGTAGGCTACGTGATAAATTTTAACCCTGGAGACCATCGCAACACCACTTCCCCTTCCTTGGGACCGCTGCCGCAAGATAACTTGTTCTTACCAAAAGGTTGTCTGTCAGATTGTGCTTTGACCACATCTGCCCCGTTAGCGTCTGCCGATCGAAGGGTCTGGCGGGGTAGAAGTGGCTTGGGCGTAACATCAACACCACTGATCCGTCCGACGGACACGGCTCGATCGTGTGCGCGACGACAATGAACGGGCCCTGGAATGCGTACACTGAGAAAACCTTGCAAACTATTTCAGGCCTTACAAAGCGAAACAGTTTGTTAGAATAGAGTATTTTGAGCACACATATATCTTCGTATAACAAAGTAGTAAATTAGTTTGTACGTATGTATGTTTACTTCGTAAGGTTTAAAGGGTGTAGTAAGGTAAGGGAGGGTAAGGCACACTGTAAAACTTAATGTTCGGAATAAACGACGGATCCTTCGGCAAAAAAAAAAATTACAGACGGTTCCTTTGTTAATTAACGAAGCTCTTCGGAAATATACAAAAATCTTCGTAAATTTTTTGGAGGACCTCTATCGATTTTACAATCACAATGGAAATTTACGAAGCATCTTCGTAAATCGACAAAGATCCTTCGTAAATTTACAGGGAATCTTCGTTAATAAACAAAGAACCTTCGTAATTATGGGTCTGGAATTAATGACGGATCCTTCGGCAAAAAAATTGCCAACAGTTCCTTCGTTTATTCACGTAGATTAACGAAGCCCGTCGTGAATTTACGATGCCCTTCGTAAATTTACAACAGACTTTGTAAATTTACGATTTTTTTGGTAAATTTACTGTGAACCTTCGTAAATTAACGACGAACTACCGTTGATTTACAAAAAGTCCTGTAGGAAAGAAACATTTACAGTGCACTTTTGGACATTCCCAAAAACCTTCGGAAAATATTCCGGCGTCACTGTGAATATCACCCGTGTACGTGTACGTCCGCGCGCACGCATCGGACGGGGCTGACTGGAAATGGGTGGGTTTGTCCGATTGCAAACCCGCTTGCACGGTTGTGAAGAGACTCGTTTGAGTCGGTACACAACAAATTTCACGTCTCCGATCACTAAAAGACAAAAATGTCGCCATGTTCATCTCGGACCGCATCGCAGCGCTTTTCGGATGCCGCCGGAGGGGGCAATAAAGTCCACACCCCGAAAGCACAGGAGGATAGGCTCGCTGAGTCTCTACCCGATTCTTACTCTAAGGCGAGCATTGAGGATGCGCGAATAGTTCGGTATCGAATCGCCCAGACCTTTCCAAGCGCCCTAACAATGTACGTACAGCAAATGAGTTGATGTATTTGCTTTGAACTTGTTGCAAAACACTGAGCACAAGTGCCCCGCCGAGGAAGAGACAGAGCAGCGACATGATGCGACACGCACAGGCATGGAAGTGGTCCAGCCCGCTTCGACGCGCCAAACTCTCACCTCCCCCCTCCCCCCCCCCACTTCGCGTGCAACGCGTGGGCGTCAAAGCAGGTCACGCAACCCGAGAGTGAAAGGTTAACACTGCAAAAATTAATGTTCGGAATAAAGGCCGGATCCTTCGGCAAAAAATTGCCGACGGTTCCTTTGTTAATTTACGAGGCTCTGCCTATGTATGCAAGAACCTTCGTAAAGTTTTTAAAGGACCTCTGTCGACTTTACAATCACAGAGGAAATTTACGAAGCACCTTCGTAAATCTACAAAGATTCTTCCTAAATTTACATTTTTAATAAAAAAAAGAACCTTCGTCGATGTACAAAGAACTTCGTAATGGTAGATCTGGAACTAACAACGGATTCTTCGGCCAAAAAAATTGCCAACAGTTCCTTTGTTTATTTACGAAGGTCCGTCGTAGATTAACGAAAGCCCGTCGCAGATAAACCACTCTACAAATCAAAGAGTATAGATAGTATGCTCTAACTGGAGCATGCCTGCAAGCACGCTCTAGCTAGCGCATGCCTGCCAAACAGTGTAACTAGTGCATACATGCCATGTACACGCTTCCTGATGCAGACAACGCCCTATCCCTTATGCACTAAATGTACTCTGCAAACTCAAGTGTGTGCCAGGCATGCACTTCTTGGTGCATGCCTGCAAGCACACACTTCCTGGTGCATGCCTGACAGGCACACACTTCTTTTCTGTATGCCTGGCAGGCACACACTTCCTGGTGAATGCCTCAGGCACACACTTGTTTGTATGCATGCATAAGCGACGGCAAGTGTGTGCCTGAGGCATGCACCAGGAAGTGTGTGCCTGCCAGGCATGCAGAAAAGAAGTGTGTGCCTGCCAGGCATGCACCAGGAAGTGTGTGCTTGCAGGCATGCACCAAGAAGTGCATGCCTGGCACTTCTTGAGTGCAGCAAACTTGAGTTTGCAGAGTATGCTCCAGTTAGCGTGTACATGGCATGTATGCACTAGTTAGTGCATGCTTGGCAGGCATGCGCTAGCTAGAGCGTGCTTGCAGGCATGCTCCAGTTAGAGCGTACTATGTACACTCTTTGTTTGTAGAGCAAGCCCGTCGTTAATTTACGAAGCCCTTTGTAAATTTACACCAGGGGGGAGGGCGTCTTGCCGATTTTGTCAAAACCCTTACCCGACAAAAGATAGGTTCCACCAACTTTCTATGCTAGCAACTAGACAATATCGGATGACGCGAGCGAAGAGAGCTAAAAGCCAAACGCCACAGATTTTTATACACTGCAAACCTAACTGTCTACTTAGTACACACTTACAAATGCGTGCTTGCAAGTACACACTTACAAACGCATGCTTGGCCAAGTACACACTTACAAATGCATGCTTGCAAGTAGACACTTACAAACGCATGCTTGAGGCCGTATAACTCCATGCGTCAAGCATGCGTTTGTAAGAGTGTACTTGCAAGCATGCATTTGTAAGTGTGTACTTGGCCAAGCACGCATTTGTAAGTCTGTACTTAGTAGACAGTTAGGTTCGTAGTGTAAGTGTAATAATGAACTAATTTTAGAAGCGACAACATTTTTTATTTCGTTATTAGCGCCATGAAAAAGTTATTGCATTATAAGTATTATTATTGCATGGCATTAGCGCATTTATCGCTTCATTGGCGTAGTTATCATTTTATCACACCAAAATTGTGATAATCTGGGCCCAGACCGGCCAACACCCAAGAGACTTACGTATTGCATTTTAATTGTGATAATTTTTTATTTTGCTGCCACAGATGCGATAATTAGAAGGATCACACTAGCCTTTTTATCGCAGCAAATTGTATGAAACTTATCACATCAGAAATATCAGTGGCATCGTGGATACGTCATTTCGACGCTTCTCGCTTATCGGGCTTCATCTAGTACGCTCTGTGACACATTTTGATTGATTGATTTTCAACGAGAGAAAGACAAGACACATATTTTCGAGTAAGATTTAGGGCGAGTGAAGCGAGCTAGAAGCCAGCGCCAATTTGTGCTTCAAATTTACACTTTTTGGCGCCCCGGACGTCATTTCTGATAATTTCGGGGGTCCTTGGGGAGGGGAGCACGGATGCTTAATTTTTGACTGTATCTGATCGTCCTTGTGGCGCGGACGATCTGCGTCTCATGTAATTTGAAACTTCGCACACGCCCTGCGTCACAGCGGCACTTCCGGCCTCCGCACTGCGCTATTGTTTATTCCGGGAAACCGCCAGCTGGTTGAAAGTGGAGATTTCTCTGATCACTGAAAACGTAATGGTCGGACACATCAAATTATAGCGTGACAAAGTCACGTCAACAACAGGAAAAATAAGCGATAAGGGAAGGTTGGGCACATAGGGACGGATTTTTTCTTGGCGCTCTACGTCAAAGGGCTTACGAGCTATAATGGTCAGGGCAGGCCTAAATTGTGCATTGGTATGTAGCCTATCACATCCTGAAGCATTCAAACTTCATTTGACACGTTATTTGTCAAGAGAGATAATTTTCTAAGAGTCTGCACTTGTCCCAAAGTGGACAGTATTGGGGTACATTCGGACAGTTTTGGGACAGCAATAAAAAAATGTGGATCAAAGACGTGCATTTATTTTTTTTTCGGACTGTCAAGTTGTAGAAAAAGTTATGCTGAATGCAATGTGCACAGACTCTGAACACCCTGAAGTTATGACCTTAAAGGCCACATGCATAAGATAATGACAACATCACTGTTTTTAATCACGATTACATTTTTGTTTCCAGACAAGAAAGTTGAAATAAAACCTAAGAGTTGTCGATTGGATGGATATCCTGTTTAGACACCAAACAGACATGTTGTTGTATAACAACATTCCTGTTGAATATTGTGTTGTAATATTACAGTGGATTTTTAAAAGTGTATGGTAAAGACATAGGCGATTTTCAGGGACTTCCTGAGAAAACCAGGAACCGTTTTTACTGCGGTACGATCTTTCGAGGCGCATTTCAGACGCTGGAAAGGAAACAAAATTCGAAAATCATGCTACTTTTTCGTTGTTTTTCGTGGAATCGATCTTCCAACCCACGTTTCTCGTTCAGAAAACGCCCTTCTGTCCCTGAGATGTGAAGACTGTTAAACAAATGACGCTCTATTATGGACAGTTTTCCGGAGAACAACCGGAAGCTGGAAATATTGAACACGAAGGAAAAAAGGGCAAACAAAATTGAGACGACCATGAAAAGAAAGCTAGTTATTCAGTTCGTACAGAACCTCGTACAGAACAGAACCAAGCAGCAACTGGAATGAAACGAAAAGAAATTGAAAGATACTTAAAAAGGACTACTTACTTTGACCGCAGACAAATAATAAAATACAGGAAAGTCTTAATGAAAGTGGGCAGCAAGGCGTTGAGACACATGCTCACTTGTTAAAATAACAAGTTAGGCGTACGCCAGACAGTGGCTTGTCGTAACAGGCCTCGCGATGCTGCGCCAGTTCCGACAGTCCACGCCTGGCGTTTACACCTACCTTGGCCAGCGGCGCTAGCCTGCCTTCGGCAGACTCTCTCGCCACACATCGCCACTCAAAGAGAAAGAGGCCTGATCACACATAAAGACGCATTCGGTTCCTGACTCCCCCAAAATTCTGGCTAACTTTTGTCGCATTTGGTCTGAAACCTGGCTCGTATGTTGAAATGGATTCTATATTCATTTTCAGCACCCTCTTAAACATATGAAATGATGTAAAATCTAGAATGATGACAAATGCCAGTGAAAAGTAATTTTTTTTGCTGTTTTTAAAGTTCTTTGACTTTAATGACCACATGGATTGAGGTGGAATGCTGAATTTTGGTGTGTGGCGGGTGATTCCGCGCGTAGAGGGCGTTTTCGTGTCCACACCCTCCCCAGGGCAAATTTATTCGAGTGCAGCCCATTTATGCACTTAAGAATCTTTTTTGGCACCAGACTAGCTTGTTCCCTTTGTATATGGACTTTCGAAGCCAACATGTGACGCGGGAGAGGGGCCAAAAGGGTCGATTTTGTAAGTTCCGTCATGTCCATTCGCACCTTGCACCAACTTTGCGGCTCTGTAACCATTTGTTCCATTCTAATCTTCGAATTTCACACACACCCATCAAATCTCTAACGTGTAGTGACTATCTTGCTTGAATTTTAAGATCGTATATTGATTGGAAGTGTCCTTTCAGAACGCGTACAAAATGTCCACCGTACTCCGACTTTTGACTTAGTAGTTTCAAAGTTACCACCATAAAAACTACTAGGAGTGCTCCCTGCTGAAAACCACCGCCGTATTTAGAATCAGCACGGTCTGTTTACCCTATGAACGAATCCCGGTGGCGAAAAAGTAAGGGGGCTGTGTGTGCGAGTGGAAGTTGTGTGTGAAAACGGTGGGTTGTAACAATTGATGTAATTTCCGTATGCCCCTCTCACCCCTCTCCTATTGGGTTAAGAAAGTCATCCTACACGTGAAAGGGCGTGTCTTGACGTCGGACTAGTGTGCCAAACTTAAAGCATATTTCTGAGGCGATGGGCATTTGTAGTGAGCTAGAAACATCTGTTTGTAATTTCCGTCGAGCGTAATTTCCGTCATATTTTCAGTAAATTTCGTCATATTTTATAGGGGGAGAAAACGAAAGTCAACTTGTAGCTCGCCCACGCTCACAGTGTCGTCCTGGTGTCCTATTGACGCCATCTAGGCAAAATTCAGGCCGAACAAGCAAGATTGATTATGTGACTTCCTAAGGTGGCTAAAACGGCCCCTACGTACGGAATCACCCTGGCGAACCGAGGATATATAGTGTTTCTAATTTTCCGGAAAGATTCAACTTTTCCGAAAATTTCCTGAAAAATAGGAAAGATACGGAAAAATTCCAGAAAAATTGAAAAATTTGGAAAAATAGTAAGTTTTGCTGCAAAAATGTCAGAAAACGTGGTAAAACGGTGGGGAAACTTGTGTGAGGTG